GCTACCTGACGAAAAGCCTTTCCTAGATATCGCGACTCGTACGGGACGACGAAGGGAATAAAACCGAGAGGAAGTTACGGAGGAGGAAGAAGAAGAAAGAGGAGAAGGAAAAGGAGAAGAAGAAGCCATGAAAGACGAGAAAGCCTTGCCGGGGGCGGTCAGTGGCCCCTGCACCGACTACCCATGAAGTCCGATGGCGTTCTATAGCATCGGCTTGCCTCACGTTGCGTCGCGTCGACAAGTTCCACGGTTAATCTACTCCTTTTTCTCCGCTAGTCCGTATCTTTCGGGGAGCGGAGACACCACTTGGCATTTTCTACCCTCTTACTCCTCTTCTTTTTTTCTTCCTCTTCCTCGATATAGACGTCGTTTCGGACACAACGATGTTTCTTCGCATTCTTATCTCCACTCCTCCTCTATTTTTCCTCCCATATACAGTCTTTTCGAAACACAGGATAATTAAAAAAAAATTATATAAAAAGCGTAACAACTAGCCCCGATCTTTCGCAAGGCCCGGACGACTGGGTCCGGAGTAATGAGGTCGGGACAATAGCGGTGCCCGGCGTAGCGCAGCGGCATGGGGCCCCTCTCTCTCTTCCCTGACATTCTGAACGTTCCTTCGTCTTCGTCGAAAGACGGACGGACGGACGCCACTTGGACATTACATTGAGCGACCCCGGGGGCCCCGATAAAGAATTCACCGTGAAATCGAGAGAACGCGGCGGGACGCCTTCGTTCTTTCTTCACGGTTTTTTTGATTCTGTGACTTCGGATAATACGACGTGATTTGCGCAGAGAGGGAAAATTGCAGTCGGCTCGAAAATTAGCTGAAAAAATTCAGACGAAGGACACGGTCGACCCGGGACACTCTGTGCATACCGGGTGACCGTTCACGCGCATCAAGAGAGAGAGAGAACGCGGGGTATCGAGCGCGGCGACAATTCCACGCACTCGAGGAGGACGAGAGGATGATGACGATAATGAAAATGATGCGGTCGGGAGAGGTAAAAGGAAAAGGTGGCGGTCGGTACATCCGGTCGGTCGGCTGCTCCGAGAACGTTGGCATTCACACACGTACTCCCTTGCTTCTCTTTCTCTCTCTCTCTCTCTCCTCTCTTTCTTTGCGAAAGGCCGTCAGGATCCGAGAAGAAGATAATAGCCGAAAGGCCGCACGGGATGGGTTAAGGCCGCGAAAGACGACGAGGTGAGGCCCAAACGATTCTCGAATTTCTTATCGGCGAACGAAAACTCAAGAAATCTGTGAGAATATATTAGGTCCGCTCAAATTTCGACTTTCAAGGTCTTTAACTGTAAACTGGTCGCATTCTGCGACAGAGATCACATCTAGATCACTGACAGAAATTCACAAACAACGGTGATTGCTTAGTCGATGAATAATTCGTTTCCATCGAACGCGATAAAATCGAATTCGACTGAAAACTGAACCGAAGTTCCTCACCGATCTCATACCGAATATTCAGATAGACGGATGTACGCGATTTCGGCAGTAACTTTATTAGTCGATTAATGAAAGTTGCATCCCTTAAGAATGGTTCATATAGCACTCATATTTATTATATAAAATGACAAATTAAAAGTAAAGAAAAAGTATCCAAAAAATTATTAAAATTTTCTCGAAATTACACCTCGTGTAAGATATAACATGAAAATCTGAATATAATTTTTACTAAATTCGTTGCTGCGTCAGTATAACGAAAAGCAAGTACGATGTAAAGTCAACGATTAACTCAATACACCGTGTACTTGCGTCATAAATGTAATCAAAGAAACCGCAAAATTTCCATCATCAATCGTCTCACGTCGTGATAATCCCAAAAGCCTGTCTACATAATCTAACACATTGTTTTCAACACCGTCCGACCCTTGTTCTCGGCTTTATTTTGAGCATCGTCAAAACACAAGATAACTCCGTGGGCAGGTCGAGTGATGTCACGCTAACAAAGTACGAGCTTCCCCATGATCGGTCAACAATGTGTTAACGACGATTATTACGCAGGTCTCGTTGAATCTCGCGCTGTCGTCACGGGGAGACGGTGAATTCTCGCGTTTCCAGGTCGCTGCGGTCGCTGCTGTGCGGTATATCCACCGTCTGGCGCGTATAAAAAGGGCGTACGTTCGGTAACCTGCGCGTAAAAGCCACGACGATTGCTACGGCGGTGGTGGTGACGCGCGTGTGTATGTGTGCACGTGCGCGCGTGTGTGCGTGCACACACGTGTGTACGCGCTAGGAAAGGTATCTATCATTGGCGTCAGCTCGACCGAGGTACAATGGAGGACAAGGGCCTTTACCTGGTGCTCGACGAGTTCCCCCCTCTTCTTTTTTCCCCCTTCCCCTCCCCCTTACCGCCGGTGTATTGGCCCCCGGTGTGCTCCACCATTTTCTAGGGGTCTTTTGCTCGCTTTATCGAGCGCGTGTGCCTTACTTCAGCTAGTTGAAGGGCTCATCGAACGTGAACACCGAGGAGAACAAAATTGCTTCCCGAATACGCAGACTGGCGAGTTGCAATAACTCGACGTACGAAATCGTACCGTTACACTCTAACCACACGATCCTCTTAACCCGGGAACAGTCACTTTTTTTTTTTAACGTAAACGATCACGAACACTTGATGCGCTCGTTACGTTTCTTAAATATTTTTTTGGTTTCTCCTGATTTTTTTTTCAAAAAATAGCAATTAAATCTATATTTGTAATGTCCCTAAAATAATAACAAATCATAGCGCGATATATTTTGTTAATAACAAATCATAGAGCGATATATTTTGTTAATAATAGCGACTTTTAATTGGGATCTGAATGACCCCAGGTGACTATTCTCGGATTAAGGTGAACAAGCTCCTGACGTCACGTAGAAATTGTAAGGACTGTGCTTTTTTGAAAGTTTATGGAACTTGCGATACCGAGAAGCACCGGAGACATTTGTTTTTCCCGTATACGCGCACCGTGGTGTAACGATCGCGATGACAGCTCGTCCACTGCTGGAAGAATAACGGTCACCGTAGTCTCGTATTCGGCAGGAAAGCGACGAGATCTTTCTACGTCGCGAAGCAAACGAGAGCCTGGTCCCTCTTTTATCTGCCCTTATCTGGTCGGTCGGCCGGTGGTATCAATGCCTGGTGTTGTTACAGAAATGAATTTAATCAATGCCGGTCTGTTTACCCTCGCTGCAACCACGTGTTCAGTGTGAGACGGGTATACATATATATAATGTGAGAGAGACGAAGAGACAATTCTCCGTCTATTTAACCGCTCTTTCCTTTATCTAATCGAAGTAACTTTTTTATCTAATTCGAGGAAACGACACGAACATTCTTTGAATGCCCGTGGGCTCTTAACGAAATTAAACGTAGCGGCAGCTTCGGCTTCCTTTGTCGAATCGACAAAAAACGCGCGCGCGCGCGCGCGAGAGAGAGAGAGAGAGAGAGAGAGTGAAAAAGAGAGAAATCGCACGGAGAAAAGGATTAATTCGGAATTGTCTTTGTGCACGGCACGTGCTCTGTTCTCTCTCTCTCTCTCTCTCTCCCTCGGCTCGTGCGTCTGCCGCAATCGAGACGAGAGGTCAACGGTTTAACTTCGTTCGCACAATTGGTCCGGATTAACGTGGTAATAAATCTCAATTAGGGACGCGCTCCTAAACAGCGTACGGCACTCGCGCGACCACCCCCAGGGGAGATTTCGCAGATTTTTCCCATTGTCAGTTCACCCCCTGGAGAGAGACGAGGCTCCTGACAAGGCACGATAATAATAGCGTGACAATTAACAACAACGACACGGTACACTTTTCGATCGCCCACGATACACCGCGATCGACGTCGCTTAATAATTAAATGTGCGAGCGATCTTTAATTCTCGAGTTTGCATCGACGCGATGCATCACGTGTGAAAATGGAAATAGAGACTGGAGGCATCGCGAAACGGCAGGATAAAGTCCATTCTTTATATAGTTGCACTGTCTGTACTTAAAGTGAAGTGGGTGGTACAGTCGACACTTGGTGGAAGAGAAGGGGGAAATAGAAAATATAGGAGGATCGCGCTCGAACAGTTCAAATAGCGTCCAAAAGACGCCTGAAAGAAGTACATCTTTTAAGATGTCTTTTAACTCTACGAGTTTCTTAAACATTTATGTCGTCTGGGCAAGATGGTTCCGAAATGTTTAGCTACAAAGAGAAGAGATCTATAAAAAGTATTCCATAGAGGATTTACGAGGACTGTTTTTTATGGACCCAAAGAGAAAAAAAAAGCTGTTTTCGCGTCGTTGTGTATTTCTCTTCGCTTTTACTAACATGGAAAGATACGACCGTCAGGAAGGTGAAGAACTGTTAAGTAGAAATAGCTCTCTTTCGTCAAATATCTTTTCCCGTAGTTATCCTGAAGTGTGAACTCATGAAAAGTGACCAGTTCCAGATGCTTTGAAGTTAAGAAATGTTCACTTCTCATGAGTTTACGTTAGAAGATAAGATTTATGGGCGACATTGTTCTTTTGCCGACCTCTTTTTCTTTCCCCTCCAATACAACATTATATATCTGTTTCACTCTACGTCCGGATCTACAATAGGTTCAATGAGCCTTTAGCCTTCTGATCTAAACAATAAAATATAACGTAATTTCGGACAAAAAGCATCTCTCGCGCTTCGAAAAGTTGTAATATCGCTTAAATATTAGGAATCGCATCTGGAGACACTTTCTGCCAGAAATTACTTTTCAACATATTCAGCTCGTATCAAATTAACACAAAAATTTGCGCGGGCCGTTTGAGACATGCGTGTTAAATTCAACGCAAAATTCTTCGCTGTGTATTATCGAGAAAATACTTTTGTTCAAGATAATATTATTATTTAAAAGAAAAGTAAACCGAGAGAGTCGCAATAGGATAATATATATTTCCCTCTACCCAGATCCGTGGATTAAAGGCAAAAAGTATAAGCTAACGCAGCGAGATAGAGAGGATCTTCCGATAGATGAAGAACCGCATTGCTTACCGCTGGTGTGAACGCTCTCGATGATCCATAAGACGAGGCAAACTCCGGCGAGAAGGCTCCGCGTCCTCGCGGAGGCCGCCGGCCGCACCATCCTCTCCGCCGCGCCGCTGCAACGTTGACCTCTCCTCCCCGTCTCCGTCTACCACGTTCTCCGCCGCTGGCCACTTCCTTCGCTCGTTCGCGCGGAAAGAAAAAAAAACTCCGGGAACTCGCGCAGGAGCTCTACGCGGAGAGCTCTCTACGATCGCGGCGACTCGCGCGTCTTCATCTCGCACGTAACACTCGCGTGACTTCGTGCATTCCGCGATGCAGCTCTCTCTCTCGATCGTCTCTCCCTCTCTCTCTTCCTCGTCCGCTGCACTCGCGAGACGACTCCTCCCTTTCGCGTCGGTCTCGCTAGTCGCGCGACCAAAACGCTTCTTTGCGCTCTTTCCTCCGTTTTCCTCTTCAAAAATCGCTCCGGACCCGCTCACGGGACGACGCGCGCATCCTCCTCCGGCTCCACGGCTGCGAAACCGTGCGTCCGTGTTGTCGTTGCGTGTCCACCTCTTCCTCCTCCTCTCCGGCGCGCGCAGCAAGGATTCGCGGAAATGCCGGACTACCGGGAAAAGAAGGATCTATCGATTGGTCGAGCGGAGATCGTCGAGATTCCTTTCCTCGATCTCTCCTTCTCTTTCTTGTGACTCTCTCTCTCTCTCTCTATCTCTCCTCGTTCCACCGGGGCGACCTTCGATCGCTCGCCGGACGAACGATCACTCGCAGTTTCTCACGTTCACTCGGAACGTCGCGCGATGCTGACAACGCGATTTGATTCGCGTTCACTCTCGTAAACGGTCGCACTCGATCACCGCCGCCGTCGTTCGCGTCACTTCTTCGCGTCCTGCGACGAATCTCCAGCGAGACTCACGCGATCTGGATCAGCGAGAGGAGGATCATCCTCCACGCGGAATTCCAACGACGCTCGGCGACATGAGAGAGATTCCTCTCTCTTTCCTGTACACGACGGATTTCCGTCGTAGGCAGATAGACGAGCTGCTGTAAGTGGGTAACGCGACGCTAACAGTCGCACGTTCACCTGGTAACACCTGGCAACGCCTGGCGAACACGATACACACACAGCCGCTGGAGTCCGGCGGGACGCCTCGCAAACATAAACACTTCCTCCGTGCCCGGCTTCCTTCCCCGCACGACCTTCGCGATCCTGCCGAGGTGAACGGCCACGCCGGCCGCGAGGACGCGCGCTTTCACACCGAATCGTCCCGGGCTTTATCGCGACCGTTTGATGTTGGACAAACGCGCTCACGAGAGGCGTAGCGTCAACTTGAAATCGTACGTACGCGCATGACCACCGCAGGCGTCGGACTGACGACGGCCAATCGCCGTCGAGCGTACGCTCGGTCGCTCTACGGCGCGCACAGCGCCTGCGCCGAGCAGACGGCGCGCTAAGGCCGCTCCGCATACGTCGCGACCGCGGCGGCCAATGAGAAGCCGCGGTCGCTAGTGATATCTCGGGAAGATCGCGGAAACGGAAAATGCTCTCGTGAAACTACGCGAGATGTACCACCTGTTGCACGCGCGCGTACAAATGCCGTTGTCGGCGGCTGTTTACGAGAAGAAGATGGTATCTTGTCGTGTGTGAATACAATGGTAGACGATTGTTCATTCTTTCGTGTTTACCTTCGCCATTGTTACCTCACACCCACTTCCGTCTTTCACCGGATCGTCGTTTATGTGTATCCCCTCCGTGTCATCGTAAGCGCGGGCAAAAAAAAGAGCCCGAGAGGGAAAGAGAGATACGATCGACGAGTACGAAAGTTTTTTAGTTTACTAGTCTTCTTGTGGAATATAGAGTAAGTGTTCCTGGTTAAGTGTCTGCGAAACGGAGGAACTGATGATTTTTCGTTCATCCTCAGATCTGGTCGATAATGGTTACGTTCAACGAATTTAAATAAGCCTTCTTAATTTTATGGTGCGGTGCTCTCATTCGCTAAAAAAATTTAGATAAACACGAGGTTCGTGCAACCGTTGAATAAAACTTACTTATTATTGGTGCATTTTTAAATCTACATCCAATCACATTTTCCAAACGTCGGTCATTCGGCTGTTCTGTTTGCCGAACAACAACAAGGACTTGTAATGGCGGCCGGCCACTTTTCAAACGCCAATTTAACGGAAAGTTAATTGAACTCGACGATCTACAATCGTGTCAACGACAGTGGCAATAGTAAAGACCGCCATTACCTTATCGAGATAATTGAGACATTGCCTCGATAATGCAGCACGTTATTTATCGCGGTAAGTTCGCGAGCGCTGTCGCGGCAGTTTGGTGTTTACGCTTGCGCTGACATAGTTGGCGCTACTGGTCCGTGTGTCCATTTTACCGCCAATGTGTATACACAACGTACGCGTTTTGTGTGAGGCGCCCGCATCTCCGACTTCCTCGAGTGATTTTCGAATCTCGGAGCGACATGTTCGTCGAACTTTAATTCGAGTGTGCCCACGAGGTGCATCCGCCACGCATATGTACATCTTCGGCAGAAGGAGGCGGATATATCGCGTGTATGATTCTCGGCAGAAGATTTCACCGTCAATATGACGACTCAAGATAGTCAGAACACGTTCAACGTAAAGGTGCATTTCGTCGTGCCGGACCACTATGAATCCGAGAATGATTGCAGCGAGAAGATGTGGCAGGCTTTTAATGTTCGTATATCATTATTTTTTGCCTTCTTATTAGATGTCAATATCGATATTTCGGGGGACCAGGAAATAACGGAACTCACGTTCTTCAACGTTTCTCTGATATTATTAAATATAATTACGCATTAATATTAAATATAATTACGCATTTTTTAATTCTGCTCCTTTTACCGTTCCCATTCAATTTTCTGGGTCTAATCGGAGTATAAGAGAAGAAACAAAAGTAATTCCGAAATTTTGAAATTTGATAGTTGGAGTAAGTGAGATAAAAGAACAAATCTTGTGTGACAAAATTAGTCGTTTTCATTAAAGAAAAAGAAAAACACGTTCAGAAATTGTCATGCAAATCTGCACATGGTAGGATCTTTCTTAGCTTTGCCAATTTAATTTTGAGGAATAAAGAATCCGAGTTTTGCTTACATATAGCTCTTATAATCTGTAATTACAAGTTAATATTCATAATCTGGTTTTTCTACTAGAAATGCGACGGACTTGGTTTGCAACCAAGATGGGTTAACAAGACATTCTGTGTTAAGATGCAACCGACTAAAAATGATGTATTTATCATAGAAGACTTTAAGGGAGATCTATTTGAAAAGCTAAGAAACTTCAGATCCTCGTAAGTGTATACAAGCAATGTGTTTTTGGAATACATTGTATTTGTGCTCAACCTACAATGTTGTAAATTATATTTTAGCAGGATAGTATCACCAAACTGCTTGCTTATTTGTTTCGACAATGATGAACCTATTCCAGAAGGAAACAGTCCGATCTATACGACAGCTATGAGAGGAATGTGCATTTGCGCATCAGGTTTGAGCCCAGAAAGCAAGGTACTGCTTTGGTAGTTGCTCTTTTATTATAGATAAATTTATTGATAAATTATATAGAATGTTGTTCAACTGTAGGATCAAATACAACGATATGTTGAGTATATGGGAGGCTTTTTCACAAAACAATTCAGAAATTCTGTCACACATTTGGTTACGGACTCGGTTATGTCTATAAAGTATGAGGTATGTTTTGTTTCATTTCTCAATGTATATATATGTGTGTATGTGTAAACAATACTAGTATAATGCGTGTATGTACATTCTCATTCAGGTTGCTATAGATATGAAGATACCAATCATGACGAAAGATTGGGTGAATGCCGTTTGGGACGCTAACTTGAATGAAGTAGTGAAGGCAGACGACGAAGTCTTCAGTAAATACAAATGTCCGGTTTTTATGAATCTAGTAGTCACCTCGACGAATCTGTCCAAGCAACAGAAAGAGGAGGTCAAACGTTTGATACACGATCATGGTGGAGTAAGTTGAAACCTATGTGATACATAGCGATCAACAGATAGACTATAATTTTCTTATTTCTTAAAGTTAGATAATAATTTGGACGGTACAGTCAGAAATTATGAATTTTTTTATATCGTTTATAATTACATTTGTCATTTTGCAGACGTTCATGGGTCCTCTCGATGGAGCAAAGGTTCGAGTAGTCATAGCTTCCGAGAACGGCCCGCTGAGCGACAAATTGAAGTATGCCATGGACAACGGTATCGCGTGCTTGAAAATCGACTGGGTATACAAGAGCATCGAAATAGGATACGCTTTGCCTTTTCGTAATTTTCTCATCGAGTCTACGAAGGCATGCTCGACACCGGAAAAACTACATAGTATGTAAATAATGATAGCGATTGCTATTGTAATGAATAGTTTACGTATGCATATATATCGGATTGAAATAAACAACGTTTTAATAAATAACTCGATAAATCTTTCAGCTCGTGTAACGCTCAATTGTTCCGACATCAGCTCGATACCGTACGATAAGCATCACAACAATTACTTGAACGAAACTTCGTGTACGGCAATATCGAATTTTTCTACCATGGAGTTACCTAATAATTTCACTGGCAGTGAGTATTGTTTACTTAATAATCCATTTCAACATATCAAAATCTCGAACGCTAACATACGTTTTCTTTCGAGCAGCTGCTACTTCAACCGTTTTGGATAGGCTAAGTTTTGGCAAGGCGAAATTGGCTGGACCATTTCTGGATGGATGTAATGTAAATCTTTCTCAATTTTCCATTATATCGTTGCATTCTTTTATCATTTGAGTTTCTCATCACCGCGTTCTGTTTCGCAGATTTATCTCGCCGGATTCGCAACGAGCGTCAGGGACAAGCTGAACAGAATATTAAACGTCGGCAGCGCGACGCGTCTCGACGACATCTCGGACGCTGTGACACACGTGATCGTCGGCGATGAGAATAAAGCATCCGCGGAACTGAAAGTGATGAAGTTAAGAGGCTTGTGGTACGGTAACATCGATACACTAAATTGGATCGGAGGTTGAATCGAGTTGAAATAAAGATTCTGCGATTCACCTGACGATAATAGATCTCTTGATTTCATATTCACGATTGACAATTTTACATTTATCCTTGTTCTGAGTAGTCCTTACGTATTGAGCATAGAATGGCTAGAGGAAAGTATGAAACTGAAACGCCCCGCACCGGAGGAGTGCTTCCTGTTTGAAACGAAGGGCGGTGCGCCGAAGAAGAGCATTGAGACACCTGCTTCGCCGCTCAGTAAAAAGGTACAGTTGATATTAACATGCGTGTTCTCCACGATTTGTACAGCAATAAAAAATTTACAAAAATTAGTGAAATTGAAGAATTAACTTTACAGGCTTTTGAGGAGCTAAGCGCGGAATTAAAAATCCACCTAGCTTAGCTCCTTAAAGCCCTATGTCATTTCTATACTTGGTTGAATGCCAGAGGAGCTTTCTTGCTATCGTTTAATTAGATTTTAACTTAATATTTTCTTAATTTGATTTTAAAATCAAATTCGAAGTACTAAATACGAATAATTAATGTGTATTACCGAGAGACTAATGCACACGTTCGTGTGTTTCAGAACTTGCAAATGTTGCAACCACCGAAGAAGCCTCCCGTACCATCTTTTAATTTGAAAAAAGACATTCCACCTGACAATGAAGAACGGCAACCTGATCTTGTACGGCAATACCTGCAAGAAACTACCGGTAATAATCAAAACAAAGAATGCACAGTTTAGATGGTACATTTAACATATATTTGAACATGCCGTAATAATAATTGTCGAATGGAAATTATGTTTTACTACGAAGAAAAATAACACAGATATGTTGCTGTGATTGTTAAGTTTTACGATATGAACACAGTTGCTATTATAAATTACAATTACTACAATCGATATTTTATTATTATTATTATTACATACTTCTGTATATTACAATAATAGTAGTTGCTATTGTGAATTATAGTTACAGAGAATTCGTTCGCGGCACGCAACAGCACGGTACAAGAATTCGCGAGGCCCCGCACGCCCGAAGGCAAAGATCAAGAGAACCACAACAGTATGACGAACGAAACATGCCCTAAAAGCATAATTTCTGCAACCATGCAAACCAAGGACCCGGGAAACAGCGATATTCTGTTGGTCGGTCAGGATTGTATGGTGGACAAGAATCTATTCCAAGGTATGACCGATGGCGATTCTGTTCGCGTGTGAAGCGAAACGAGAGAAACCGTATGATGAAGTCTCACAAAGAGTTGTTCTTTATATTTATTAATGAATCAATATAAATCCGTTCATAGGTCTGACGTTCGTCGTGACTGGCTTCGATAACAACGAGGATGGTAATCCAGAGGACACGATTGTGACATTGAGCGGGCGCGTGGTCTCGAATTCGTACACCGGTATTCCGGACTACGGCGTCGTGCCCGTGCAAGGCGCGCCACTGAAGCACACGGTCAACGAGATTGTCACTGACTTGTTTATCGTAAGTATTCTTCGTATCACTCATATCTTTTCTCTCTCTTTCTACGTGACCGTCATTGTTCTCTCTCTTTCTTTTAACTTATATTTTAATTTCTATTCTTTTTCTTAGCGCTTGAGAAGACATTTTTTTTCCCAGAGCACGAAATAAATCCATCTATTTCTCCATCTATCCATCTATCTAATAAATACCAACTATCAACAACGTAACATCAATGTTACAATTTCCTACAATATTGTAACGGTTACATAACACAAGCATTATATCGCAAGTGATGTTACGTTACTGTTACTTAGTGTTTACTGGATATCTATCTACCTTTCTATTTATGTCCATCTACTTACACATGTATCTATCTATTTATCTATCCACCTAGCTATCTATCCCATCTATCTGTCTATCTATCTATCGAGTGGACTCGAGTCTTGTAATGTGTTAGATGTATTAAAACACCGCTGATATTCGCTGGTCAAAACAGGAAGATTGCATAAACCAGAAGGAAATCGTCGGCATCGAGTATTATCACAAGCCGTTATCGATCAGGAAACCTTGTCGGCCGCTGTCGGAATGCGTCATAACGATGAGCATGTACACGGGGATGGAACGGAAGTACCTCTCGGCATTGGGCACGGAACTCGGCGCTATGTAACGTATAATCCAACCGTGAAACTTGCGCCAACAGTATTTTTTCATATACACGAATACATTTCTACACACAGATGCCAAGACATATTCTCACGGAAAGCGAACGCAGGGAAGAATGTGTATGGCAGCACGCATCTGGTTTGCCCGACTCCGGAGGGAAACAAGTACAACGCGGCGGTGAGGTGGAAACTACCGGCCGTCACTGCCAACTGGCTGAAGGCTTGCGCGGATCAGCTGACGCTGGTGGACGAAACGTCGTTCCTCGTCGGGGAAACGAGGGGTAAATTGATCTAGAAAGAATCAGTCGCCCTCTAACTTGTCCGTCATCTCTCTCCTTCAATTGATTACACGTGAACGAAATTCCGTGTCTCCGTATTTGCGTTTCTCAGTTTTATAATTGCACATCTCGAAATGTTATTTTTGGTGCATCGCACAATTCTAATGTTTGCTTATGGTAAAAGCGCCCGACAGGTCGACCGTCAGCTGTATCAATATAGAGATAAATCCCTCGAATGTTGACGAAAGTGAAATGAACTCGGCAGACAAGACCACGAGGAACATCATCACGCCAAAACGGCATTTGCCTCAAATCAAGGTACTCGTCTGTCTCAAGTGACCTTGATCTTTAAAGAGACCTTGTAAGCACGTGTCTGTGCGAAGAGTCTCACGACGATGTACCCAAGGCTTGAGAAACGATTTTTTAATGTCGTAAAAAATATAATTCGAGGCACTTAAATGCACGGCATAAAATTTGAAACTTAAATAATAACTTCGACAACGTTGCACACACACAGAGTCAGGAGATAATGTCCGGCGACACCCCGTTGATAAACAAAAGACTCAGCCTCGTGATGAATAAGACGCCGCAGTCACCGTTTCATGTCTCCACTCCGGAGACCCCATATGGACAGATTTTCAAACCCGATCCGTCGCCTGACACGAGAAAGGGCTGGGTCAAGTGGGTTGAGAATTTCCCGGATTTGCAGGTGACGGAACCGCCGTTGAAACGACGCGCACCCAGTACTGTGAGTACCGCTTTGTCAGTGGGAATATTTTAATACTGAAAATACTTATATGTATAATTCGCGAATTCTAATTTTATCGGTAAGATATTTTACGTTGGAAATCAAAATGTTTTATGTAAATGCGATTTTCTGATTTGACATCCTTCCGTGAGTTTTAATTGAGTTTTCAATGAATAGAATAATAGTTTGAAATCACCTCAGGGACGTGTTATACACGAGTGTTCTCTTTCTCTAACTGCATATACAAGCTATAATTAAGCGCGATTTACAGCCGCTCTCGGAACTGAAGAGACAGTTGTGGGAGAAACTGAAGAACCCAGGTCAGTCTGAAAAGGTGAGGCATAAACATGTTTTATTATTTTAATCATTTTCATATAATCCTTAAACTCACTCTTTCCTTCTTAACGTATCTTTCATACTTTTAGGAAAACGCATCGGATGAAGCGGCAGCGAAATCGAACGACAATTCTCTCGCGACAAGGACGGAAAAGAAACAAGACGACGACCGGTCTAGTAAAGACAGTCCGTCGACTCCTACGTTAATCAACAGGAAGCTCGAATTCAGTCAGGAAGGTACTCCGGTATCGAATGATCCGAGTAATGAGATAAACATGTACGTACATTTATATTTCATTTTGTATTTCCTTTTACTGCGTGTAGACAAGTAATTTGTGAGATTGTGAATTCATGTCTAAACAGGCAAATAGCGCAGTTGGATCAGGTGCTTCAACGGACGTCCAGCACCCCTGAGAGCAGGTACTCTCTGTCCGGTGAGAACGCGAAGAAGTACGACGACGAAACTTCCGACCACATACAAAACTGTGAGTGTCCGCTGTATTCATCAAGTGTCATTCCTTCAAGTTTCATATCTATTCTAATTTTTCCTGATCATCTCACACACAGATATGGTAAAGGACTCGCAGCCTGTCGACGCCATCGTGTGGGAGGATCCGAGTCATTCGAGACGAGTAAGGCACAATTGCTCATGCGTGTTTTCTTCTTTCCGTTCTCTGTCCTGTTACTTCTCACTTGTAACGCGAGATCTGTGTACTTATAGTCGAGGCTGAGCAAAGAAAGAATCGAAGAGGACGAGGGCGATATCAGCGAAGTCCAGGAGCCCGTTGAACAAGACGTGTCGATAGAATACGAATGCGAACCGTCGTCGATACGAAAGTTCATGCTGTCGGGTGTAAAAGTACGCTCTCAGATACATAACATTTATCCAGTGTTGCTGGTTTCTTTTTTTCTATTCGAGTCATCGAGTCAAAAATAGCGTCTCCTTGAACTCTCGTATTCTTATATTCAAGATTCCTTATATCCTCCTATATTCAAGAACCTTAACGTAAACTTAATGCCCGGCACAGGACCGACACGTGTACGAGCGAGTAATACATGCACTTGGCGGAGATGTATCGATGGATGCGAACTTCGACAACAGTGCAACGCATCTCCTCTGCATCAGGCCGTCGCGAAACGAGAAGATGCTCGGAAGCATAGCGTCCGGGAAGTGGGTCCTGCACTGCTCGTATCTACGCAACTCCGAACAAGCGGGCAGATTCCTCGACGTTAGTAGTGTAGCGTCTCTATCCTTATCGCTGTCGCATTGGAGATCCCTCGAACAACTTATCGAGGCCGCTTCTCCATTCATTTCGCGAAATTAAAAGCAGATCAGCGCGTTGAATATTGCACTGATTTCACGTGACCTTTTATTCACGCCGCACGAGTGATAATCGAACGATATATGAAACAATAATCATGTGCCGATTAACGATATTGAACAGTCTTTTGCGATAATACATACTTTAAGCGAACGTGTGAAAGCTCAATGTAAGTATCGATGATTCACGGACGACCATGGCTCGTCGATAAATTCTACGTTAACCCTTGGTTGACGTTATTGCAATCATTATTTTTTAAATAAACAATTTAAGGTATGTGAAAAAAGATAATGTGTAGATTCTACACAGAAAAGAGCAAAATATTTCGCATGCTTTAAGAAAAAAAAGTTCTGTTTATATATGCGATTATTCGAGATTTGACTATAGGATCTTAATTTTTCGCTTGGATCAATTTGACACGTGAGTGTCGAATTGGGATTGAATTAGATTTCATAATGTGAATTTTCGGTTTCGGTGACGTGAAGAAATATTGGATTTCGCTTTCGAGTTAGCACCATCATAGATTTCCGACGTTTCATGAACATCCCAGTTTGCTTCTTCGCAGAGAAGAGCAACCTGAGTCTCTCATTGCAATTCATGCCTCATGACGTTCCTTTTCCCGGCGAAGTGAACTGGAATATACACGAAACATCGGAAACAAATCCGTTTCTAGGTTTCTTAATTTTGTGGACTTTTCCATCGGTGAAAGTCGCGCTGAGAGCTTATAATCGCGTCCTATTGAACTCGCGTATTTTTGTACTCTAGATAAATTTGCATCGGATAAATTTCGCCATATTAAATAGTGATAAGCGATTTGTGATAATACAAACGATAACATCGTTATCCCAGATCTCTCCTGCAACGAAATACAGATCGTTGTTGTAGTATGTGCATGCGAAAATTAACTTTGAGTAACTCTCCACGAACCTGTTATTCGCGATAAAAAAATATCTCGGCTCCATTAAGAAATTCGATATCGGCCCTTATTGGTGTACATTACAATACTGATCCAATCTGTATTTACAGAGCGCGTGGATCTGATAATTTCCATTTAGATTCGCATGTGTAGGCAACATCGCCGATAACTATTATATAATAACTCCGTTATCACGATTATTATTATATCAATGTGATAACTTATGCTGTAAAGTCCACCATTTTCGTAGAATCGGCATATGAAATCTGAATGATCGATGATAACGCTCACTTGCAAGATCGCGAGCGGAAGATTACCGTGGAGCTCAATTCCATATGTATTTTTGTACGTGCAATTCTATATTTGACGTGAAGAAGTTTGAAGCGTTCAAATGCGATAATTAAAATTATACGAGAGTTTGAATTATATGAAGGAGGCTTGAATTGAAAGTGAATTTGAAAAAGTTTTATGATTTACGAATGTGAAGTGCTCGCGACTGACGGAATGCGAAGTATCGAACGCCGATTGATCCTGGCAAATGACAATTTTGCAGGAGGAGGAGTACGAATGGGGCAACCCGAGGAGCAAAGGTACAATCCCGGAGCCGAACGGTGAGATCGAGCAGGCGATCGCGGCCGCTGCTTACAGGTGGAGGCTGAAATTGTCCATGAAATCGGACGGTCCGTTCTCCGACATGGTGGCTTTACTGCTGGTCTCCGAGGAGAAGTACGATCAGTTTAAAAGACTGATCGAAGCAGGCGGCGGTGTGGTCATCCAAGCACGGTGTGTATCTTCGCGAAATTCAATTGTATTATTATTTTGCACCGATCGTTTGATCAACGTCATATTTGCTGTACTATTTCCTGGAATGAAAATCACACGGTTTTCAACCTTATATATAACGCATAAGGTTGAAAATCGCAGAGGTAACTCTGGTTATAATGATTTATAGCGTTATAATAGCTTTGATTATAATAATTTCAAACTTACGTGTACATATGAAAGGCTACAAGTTGTGCAATAGGGAAGAATTTCAAACTAGCAAATGACCCTGTCGCAATAGTTGCCACTCGCAGGGTTGAAACAGATTGAGAAATTAACATTAGACGACAATGTCAAATTGTTTTGCGAGATGCTCAATTATCTATCGTCGCGATAAATTGTCGTAGGCCGCCGTACGACGCGAGTCCGACCGGACGCAGGATCACTCACTGTTTCGTGAACGTCAGGCAGGTGAATCAGCCGATAGATTGGGCCATGTTGGCCAACAAGGGCATTCTCTGTTTCCTGCCGCAATACCTGAGCGACTATCTGACGGTGACGATACCGTTGAATCCGCGGGACTGTGTACTGCCGGAATTCAAGAAATACCTTGCGTTATTGCCGAAGTAAAATCCGATTCGTCGAGGATATTCTTCTTGCTTCTCCTTCTTGCATGGATAGCCGCTCCTGTGGCAGGGACAGCGTCATGTTTTCGTTTTTGAAATCAGTGGTGTGAAGAGAGCCAAGGTATAAAGGAGGCAAAAGGAGCATCTCGCGTGCCTCGGCCGCTCGGAAATCGCTTGGACGTTGAAGAGTGATTCGCGCGGCCGGCCGATGTTGATACCGGTGTTGCAAGTTGGATTTCGAAATTCTTTGCCGACAGACTCACAATAGTTGCCACGAGGAAGTATCGACTCGTTAATTTTTACATTTTTTTTTTCTTTCCGTTGTCACTTCACACTGTGCATTCGATGTCAGAATCGAAACGCTGGCCAATCGAAGAGGAAGTAAAGGAGGTCGCGTCTTGAGCCGGCATTCATAGACGGATCTTATTATATTTCAAAGTTTCAGAAAGAAACCGATTCTTTCCCAATTTTTCCGCGGATTTCTTCGGCTTTTCTGTCTCGAGGGTATAAAAATTCGTTTAGAAAAATGCACGTGTGCTCGATTAAGACCCGCCATATTTATTTTTTTCCGAAAAGAAGATAAGAAGGCGAAAAAGTCAACGGGAGAATGGAGAAAGTGACGGATTTTTTCGAAATTTTAAAAACTACATATCTTATATTAAAGATCGTCTTCTCGTCTTCGGATGCTGCACGGCTCATTTCATTGGCTACGGGACATCTGAAGATGGACTTAAGACTTGAACTTTAAGATCTTACTATGAATACCGGTCTTGATCTTGATTCATCGCGCATCACTGATTCGACGGTGATTCCTAATACGAAAGATATCGCAGTGACGCGCGATATCATACTTTGTTTTTTCGCATTATCGAGGAAATTACGGTGAACCAAAACTATAATTACTTGTAAATGTGAAGACGCCTACGAGGTACATGTGTTACTCTCTCCGCAATGTAGATTACGATCTACCTTGTAGACGACGGGTTACAATAATGTATATAGTCAATTTGAAAACACGACGATGAAATGTCGAAATAAAGATTTTTTTACAGATAATAAAGAAGTATCCCTTAAGAATATCGGCGTTCTGCTAATGTCGTCGTAAGAATGTCCCGTAGCAACCCTCTGCGTTCCCGAGAATGATCCTGGAAGATCCTTGGAATAAGTGATCGATGTAGCTTGTTACCAGGTGAAAAACTCCTTGAAGTAGTAGTAGATCTCTTCTGCAACTTTTAACGACAGATTTTCTGCCATGTATTATACCTGCGCAACGACGACGTAACGATAACGATAACTGTCGTTCAAAATCGTAGAACAGATTTAACGATATCCCTCGCTGCGATCGACAAAAATAGATACAGATGCGCGTGGATACTGCTCAGATGTCGTTCTCTCCATAATGTCTGGAAAATATATAATCTAATAGTGTTAATCATAATCACAAATCGAAAACTTATACACATCATTTGTGTACATCTTGTGCTCATGTGATGTTAATTACATAATGATCTTTAAAAATGTATTAAGTTGGAGTCGCAGTATGACATGACATACAACTACATTGTGATAAAACACGATCAGCATTTATATCTGGGCAAGACATTGTCATAAAATTATAAATCAGCCATCCTGCTGGTATCCTTAACGACAGAGTATGTAATAAAAGCCACTGGATCGCAGTTAGGATTCTTAATGTATGTATAATCTCGATAAACCAATATATATTTATTATATCAATAAAAAAAATATTACTTCCCAAGGTCTTAGACAATTAACATTGTGTCCACAATAATAAAACAAGGCGATAATATTATATATCGATCATGCCTTTTTTTCAGAGATTACGCGTTCTATTTTTGCACTATTGATAAGTCGACATTATCAACGTTTTTCGGATCTTTTGATCAACCGTACCAACACCGGAAAGTCAATAATGTACATACTAACATGTCACCGTGCACGCATGTCGTCTATATCTTCTTCAAATCCAACTGGAATCCCATCGGTGGCGTAGTAAACACATTTCTTTTGTCCACGGTGCTTAGCCAAGAAGGATTCAACGCGACCTCGTAGTCCTGCAGAATCGATATCAGTCCCACGGCGGTTTGCAGGTATCCTAATCGACTGCCTGCTCGAAAATAGATTGTATTAGAAAAGAAAGACCGATTGTGTGATATAGGCAGAGATTAGAAAAAAAAAGATATTCCTTAAAATGAATTCTCTATAAATTTCTACTCACCACTGTTTTATCAAAATAGAATAATTAGTAGGCTCATTCATAAGTGTAACATCCTACGTACTACAGATTTGACTGATACTGTCTGGTATACACGATGTATTTATATAGTTATAAATACATTATTCATTGTGTGCATTCCGGCACACAAGTAGCAAGAAATTCTACCGATGCATTAGCAATGGATATGATTTACCGACCTATGCAATTGCGCGGACCCTCGCCGAACGGCATGAAGGTGCACGGTAGCATCTCATTCTTCCTCTCGTCGCTGAACCGGTCAGGGTCGAAAGTCGTGGGATTCGAATGATACCTGGGATCGGTGTGAAGACCGTACAACGCGATATATACCGGCGTGCCTTTCTCGACAGTTATCTTTGTGCCGGGAAACTGTAATTTGTAAAAATCATAAACTGTAACGTTTGACATTTTCCGTGCCGAACTAATTTTACGTGACGAGAATAGATTTCTGTCTCCATATTGTATCACGAATATCACTTTAATTTCACTATTAAATTCCTACATGTATGACTAGGTTTTAATCGTCTCCTTACTTTTGTATGTTTTTATCATTAGTAATGTTATGTTGTTATTATTATGTTGTTATTGTGTGTTATATTAGTTTTGTAGTGTGTTATATTATGTTTTATATTACATGTTTATATGTATATTATGTTACATATGTATATGTTTTGTGTATGTGCGTTATGTTACATACTGTTACGTTTTTAAATCATGCCCTACCGTGTAATCCTCGAGGGGAACTCTGTCGATGAGCGGCGCAGGCGGATACAGCCTCATCGTTTCGGACACCACTTGATACAGATACTTCATATCTTGGACAGCCTCGTACGTGACAGCACCGTTCGCGGCCTCGATCTTCTCGAGGATCTCCCGTCTGAGGCGCTTCTGTATCTCCGGTTTCTTGGCTAACTCGCAGAGTGTGTAGGTCATAGTGGTGATACTGGTCTCGCGGCCGGCGGCGAAGAAGATCGCTGCTTGAGCGATAAGAGTATCCCCTTCGAATTCTGAGGGGAGCAGACAATGGACACAGCAATAAGTGAGCAGACCGGTAGTGATCGAATCATCTTTCGATCTTAATCTCGGTCTCTTATTTTTCCGTCTGCATGCTGTCGAGATATTTATGTTTGCACGAACATCCGCGAATCAATGACAACCACTCACGGAAGATCTCGTTTGTTGCATCCTCGTTCTTCAGCTGCAGGAGAGAATCGATCAAATCGCCCCGTTTCTTCTTACTAAATCGTCTGTTGTCCATCGAGTTCCAGAAGACCCTACGGAAGTAATTCGTTTGCTCACCGAGCATTTTCAGGCCAAAATATTTCCCGATATTCGGAAAGAAGAAAAGAAAGAAGAACCTCACGGACCTCAAGAAGTTCTGTTGGAAAGCTATGACCGCTATGTGAGAGAAGAAAAATAATATCAAAGGTGGTAGGAAATTTGTTTCACGAGAGAGAAGAAATCATATATAATAATCATATACACAGAAAAATACATTTATTGCATTCAAGCAAATATTACTTATTTCGAGTATTTCATTAGTTTATATGTTACAAGTTCATCATAAACATCAAATTTACTCGAAATGTATTCTGAATCCTGGTATATACAAATTTGGTACTTCAAGAATATTAAGTTAAAACAAACTTCGGTTTTGCTTATTTTCTTAAATTAACCGAATTTACTTCTTCGGTAAAGCTCATAATATTCTTGAAAAAAGAATAAATTCTCTCGAGTACGTAATAATGAGTTTTTCTAAAGTGTTTTTCTAAAATTTGTGATGACAATACATACTCATTACGAATATATTTGAAGATTATTATCAAGAAAATATTCTTCGAAGAAATATTTGTCGAATATAATCATCACTTAAAAGAAGGGAAGTAAATGGAATAATCGCTTTTGTTAGCAGTGAAGTAATATTTTTCTCCGTGTATCGTTTTTACTCGCATATATATGGATCTTTAAACTTAAAAATCTCTTACAATTAGTATAAAATTCCGGTGTGGGCGTGTCGAAAGAGTTGATGCAAATTCCGAATGCCATGGAAGCTATTACGTTGGTGGTGTACTTGTAGAATGTCTCCTTGACGTTGAACGACGCAACTTTGGAGTCTCCTTTAAACTGATCGCGTAAATATGCCCCCATGGATTCTGCGGACTCCACCATCAGCAGGAAGAGATTCTTTAGCTTCCCGCTCGTGAACACCGGCGACATTTTCGTCCTGTGGAAGGAACATAAGAGATTTATCACTTAATTTTAATTTAATTTTGTGTCGATGAACTAACCTAAAGAATTTCGAAGCAAAGGAAGAGAAAAAGAAATGTAAGAGTTGGCGCTTTTCCGACACGGCCCAGTTTAAGAAATTAAATGTAATCATAAATATTCGAAGACTTAGCACGATGGTCCTCGATAACAGATATTTTCGGCATTTACATCGGAGCGTTGGAGCTTGAATTATAACTCCGATACAATTTGCGATATAATAATAATATTTACCTCATATGCTTCCATTTAGGATTGCTTATCGAGAAGAGAGAGGAGGAACCGATTTCGTCAATCGTGCTTTGGGCTGAGAAGTGACGGTTTGGAAACATATGGAAATCTTTGATAAGCATTTGCTTGATAAGCTCCGGATTTCTCACGAGGAGGAACGGCTTGTGCAGGATGTAGATGCCCACGACGTCATCCTCGTCGGCGGCTTGCTTATGTAGATCACCGATCAACATACCCGACGATTTGCGCATCAGCACGGCGTCCTTGAAGTTCCCGAAGAACCAGTGCAATCCGGGCAACGAACGTATGCCACGTCTCTCCCAGTAAGAATGTTTCCTCTTCCCCCAAAGGTACAGCATCACCAAGAGCGCCAAAAGTATGAAGAAAATATTCGTCATCGCGAACCTATATCGTTAACGAAACCTTGCGTCTGTACGTTAAACTTGGTCTTCACCGAGGTGAAATTACGTAAACCGAGAACTGCGTAATAAATAAATGTTAATGCAAGCCGTTACAGATACTGTAAGAAACTGCGGACGAAGAGGAAAGAGAGAAATCGAAAACGAATACGAATAAATAGCTAAGTCATTTATCAAGGGGCATGATAACAATTTTTTATTCATTTGTGCCGATAAAGATAGCTGTTATCCGCTACGTTAGCCGCTTTACGTTCAGCTTATATTGTTTACGTCATAGTCGCAGATAACTGGTATAGAGATAGAAAGATGCAAACTGAATAAATAAAAGATAAAATTTTAAAATTATACAAGTAAAAAATTAAGTAAAATCTAAGTGAATAGATGAGTAAACAATTAACTAAATGAATGAATAAATAAACAATTAAATAAGAAAGGGGGACTATACTTGCTTCGCGAATCTTGGCTATTTATTTTTTTTTACCTGGCTGTGCACATTACTTCTAGAGCTGCGTGAATTAAAAATTTTTTATGCCGAATCGATTTTCATTTTTTTCATTTTCGAATCGAACTGCTGAAACACAATTTTTAATTAACAACGTAATCGTTAAATTCGACATGACAGTAGTAAGGAAAGACTTCGGTATGAAAGGTATAACATCGATTTTGTGATAATATGTAAGAAGTAAGAAAGTAAGAAAGTAAGATACGTATATTTGAATATTTAGAACAAAATTGAACTAGTAGTAAAAATTGATGATAAAATTGATACTGATAAAATATATTTTATTTAAGGTAACGGTAGTTGGAATAGTCAGATATGCAAGATTATAAATCAATTATTAACCCATTAGCGCCTGAACGGACATTTTTCGGTACCAAAGTTCAAAGAGTCACTGTACGACGCATTTGATCGAAAAAAATTTTGGAACCACTGTTCCCTATGTTTTGAAGGTTGCTCTTTTGAATGATGGTGGTTAGAAGACCCTAAAATGAGTTTTTTATGGAAAAATAGCAAATTAAAAAAAAAACATAAATTTTTTGATAACATTTTTTTTTTAGGTAATTTTTTTGCTTTTGCATTTTTCTACATACTTAAGACCGATAAATATCGCGTCCATGACACCAAAACTAAAAGTTATTGGCTATACATAATTAAAAAAAATTTTTTTATTTAGACAAAATGACGTCCGAAACAACAAATTTTAGTTTTAAACTTCAGCAATTTTTTTCTCGATAACTATGGACTTGAGGAAAAATTTTCTAAGAACAAAAAAGCCGTAATATTAGTCAAAGAATACCCTCTAATTTTTTCAGGACCATAAAAGAAAATTTTTGACTTTCCAGAAAATGGGAAAATTGAAATTTTCGAAAAATCGTTTAAAAAATCTGAAAAAATTTAAGGGTATTCTTTGACTAATATTAAGACTTTTTTGTTCTTAGAAAATTTTTCCTTAAGCCCATAGTTATCGAGAAAAAAATAGCTGAAGTGTTTTTGAAGTCACTGATCACAAATTCAACATTTTTATTGTATAATTAGTTCCAAAGAAATTTTTTAAATGTTATCGGTCGTTCACGATCAATGCAGAAACTGAGTGATTTTAGAAAAATGCAATTTCATAAAAATAATATATTGCGCATCGTAGATATGCACAGCTGCGAGACTTGTGTCAGAATAATTATAAATTGTAAAATTAATAATTGATAATAATATTTAATATTGCGATACAGGCTAAATTTAATATTTATATCAAATGATTAAAAGTTACCACTAATGCCAGCGCTTTTTATTTATTCACATGATATTATGAAAATTTATTTAAATACGCTGATTTTAATAGTATTTCTCTTGCTGCTGTTTTGAGCTATTGCTTTTAATATGTTTGAAGAGGATCTTAACGTACAGCGAATTTTTTATATTATGCCAATTCCTGTCATGCTGGACGTCTTTATTACTTCGTCAATGCTAATGTGTGAGATTCATACTTGAATTTTCTCGATTCGATATTTTCGAATTATCTAGATTTGAATAATAAGGTTTCGAATTCGAATCAAATCGAATCTGATTCTAGTCAATTCGTATTCGCATATTTCTCACATCTCTAATCAACTCTTTATATTCGTTTTTCTTTTGTTATTTCTTCCTACTCGATTCCAACTATTATTTTTTTATTATTTCTAACTATTATTTTTCCTTCTGCGGCTATTTCTTCATTTTACAATTATTTATTATGGTAATAAATTACTGATTATTGTTAACAGAATATAGAACAGAGTGAGATCAGGAAAAGGAAAAATTGGAGATTATGAGATTTGGATTCTATACTATGTACACGTGTTTTCAGTTATGTTATTAGCAATAACTTTATTGTATATGTATATATGTATATTAATTAATTTAATCTTGCGTTGACAATAAGAAATTTTAATAAATAGTTGTGCCTTAATTAGGTATTCAAACGAGGCATTTGAAGCACGACAGACAACAGTAATTAACAATTAATTGTGACACTGACTATAAATAAACACTTACTATGTGAGGTGTATGAAAACTCGCATGTGTTTGTGTTAAACTGTGTAACAGTTTAACCGTACATAACAATATTTTTCTTTTCATTTCGAATACAGTATCGACTCAGTACGACTTCGAGACGCAAGTTTCCAGACACCTCGCACGACACGACGATGTTCGACTATCACGGGCACTGATTAGTTAGAGGGAATTACTAACGGGCCAGAGAGATCCCTTTCTGATTTAGTCTTAAATTCTATCCGACATAAATTCACACGAGAAGCTCGATATTGACGTTGTTCACAACGTTATGAGTGTAATTTCTTTTTCGTCGTTTCCGGAATAACCGGGAAGCGTATTTACAAATGCGTTTGTCAATATTATTAATATCTTGGAGCTAATATTATCTGTTTAACACTCCGTTAACATTCGTGCTCTGATTATTGCGACACACTCCTATTGATTCTTTTCTCGCTCCGAATATCTATCTTTCAAGTCTAGAAAGATTTTCATGTTATAGTCCATAGGATTAAATAAGTTAACGCCGACTAACGAGCTCAGTTCATAACTAATGAATCATTTCGAGTGATTTCTCTGTTATAAACGCGTGAATAAAATTGAAATAATAAAATAATAATATGAAAATTATGGAGTAATTTAACGAAGCTAAAAGAAGATGTCCTTCGTTTCTAGAATCAATATAAAACGTATATATTAATATAAACGTATGTGTATTTGTGTGTGTGTGTGTGTGTGTGTTGCACGTGCGTATATTGTACGAAGAAATCCACTTCTATATCCGAATGTTTTCCCAGTTTTATCACTGTTAATGTCAAGAAGACACCCGGATACGGGGAAGCGAAGTATACCTGGAAAGTACACTGCCATAAGCGAAGTGAAAAATTCGGATCGTTGCAGTGTGTTTTCCACGTGTGTACACACACTCGGTGGACACACATGGTGTACAATTATTCCTCGGCGAAACGGATTCGCCGTTGCTATTTTCGCTGATTGTCTGACAACGAATTCGATTTCAAAGTCAGTTGCGATTATGTCCGATATGCGTCCGCTTATCGAACGATTCTCTTGAAGTGAAGCTTGATGCCATCGGCCGCTGCGGTGAAGGTTGATCGTGTGTCCAAAGTGCTTTTGTTCTCTTGGCTCTGCCAGACTTCGTACTCGCGCAAAAGCATCGCCAGAACAACCTTAGCATGCAACGTACCCACTTTCGATCCTGCAAACAGCGAATAGGAGACTCGATTGAGTAATCTTTGTTGAATAATTACTCAAGACGTCGTCAGAATGCGATTCATCGAAGACTCATCGATCTGTTTATGACTATATATAATTATAAAATGTGCAATTCTCTTTATATCATATGTAATATAGAGTATTGTATTTAATTATATATTTAATTATATATTACATATTACATAATTAAATACTATATATATATATAATAGGCCGATCGATAAAAGATATTCTTGACTTTGAAATACACTTTATAAATTTATATATATAAATATATATAATTGTATAAATTTATATTAAATTTATATATATATATATATAATTCTTTTTTCTCTGTATATATAAAATAATATAGTCTATCTAATATAGTCTTATATTATATATAATATGCAATCTGAGTCAACATGTATTATTCTCAATGTAACATGTTATGTAACATGTATTATCGGAAGATAATTACATGTCCGCTTTATCGCGCTCTCAATCTCAATGATGTGATATTAATCATAGGAAAGTGTATTTCAAAGTCAAGAACATCTCTTATCGATCGGCCGAACGATCACAAAATGTCTTCTCTTATATACGCACCTATACACATTCTGGGTCCAAGTCCGAAGGGCATGTAGGCGTCGCTGATTGGATTATCCTCAAAGAATCTGTCGGGGTTGTATACCTGCGGCTCGTCGAAGAACCTGGGGTCTTCATGCATGCCGTACAGAGAGATGTATATCGGTGTGCCCTTTTCGATGGTGATGTCGGTGCCGGGAATCTGGAATAAGAACACAAATTTTTCGCTGCTATTAATTTTCGGCTTCGAAGAAATCCACAGTCCAAATCAATATAAACTTTCCTTCTAATAAAAGAAAGCGATGAAAAAAATCATCGGTGAAATGTAATTTGTACAAAAATTAGAGAAAGTGAGATATTTCTCTTCACTGTTAAAAAGCGTTAGTCTATGATACATGTTACATAACATGTTACATTAAGAATAATACATGTTGACTCAGATTGCATATTATATATAATATAAGACTATATTATTTTATATATACAGAGAAAAAAGAATTATATATATATATAAATTTAATATAAATTTATACAATTATATATATTTATATATATAAATTTATAAAGTGTATTTCAAAGTCAAGAATATCTCTTATCGATCGGCCTACTATATATATATATATATAGTATTTAATTATGTAATATGTAATATATAATATCTTCTGCAATTTGAGTACTTTAGTCTGAGTACTGTAGTACTTCAGAACTGTAAATAGGTTTAATTAAATAATACGTAGAAATCACGTGGATCGGCAACTTTATCTGTAACGTAACTTCTTCATGAAAAGATAACGAGATATAAAAATGTTGAAGTTGTTATGGATAAACGAACAAAGGAGGAACTTGTTGAAAGTCGAGATGTTGGTAATTAAGCGTTATCTTTTCTTCTAAATCCGAAATAATTCTACACATTAGCTGAGTTATTATAATAAATTTAATAATAAATTATAATAAATTTAATTACCCAAATATCTACCCAGATAACGTTAAAACATTCTGAGAACGTCGTAAAGAGGTTTTTTAGACAATAAGACGTCTAAAGTGCGTTTTTTAAAGGTCTTTCAGATATACGTGTTGTTTAAGTGCCAAGTTATTTGAAAGTTAACGACCTCTTGCAAAACTTTCAACGTTTTTACAATTTCATTCCGAGTAAAATTTCAAATTGCAGGCAATATATTTTTTGCGAGAGTACCGACCTCATAATCTTGACGGGTGTATCGGTCGATCGTCGACACGGGCGGATATAACCTCAGGCCCTCGGCGATCGCTTGATCCAAGTATCTCATGTCGTTGAATGCCTCGTACGTCCAGCCGTATTTGTCGATAGCCCTGTTAATGTCCTCCCTGGCCAGTTGCTGATACTCCAGATGTTTCGACAGTTCCATCAACGTGAAAGACATGCAGGAGGAGCTCGACTCGAAGCCGGAGAAGAAGGTCCCGGATTGGTACAACAGATTGTCACCTTCGAATTCTGTGACAGACAGAGTTCGATACTTCAGTCTCTATCGTCATCTTCGAGTTTTATGGTCCAATTTAGCGTTCGTACGCGGAAAAAACAGTTTTCGTCGGTATAATTGAATTTTCTTTTGCCTGGGGACTAGACGAGAACTCGGTTGCAGCAACAGAAAGATTCCCGGATTCCTATTCAGTTAATCGTTCTCATTTGCCTCTCAGCCGAGTTTTATTATGCGGCCGAATGTTCACGCGAATGTTCTCAGTCGCGGTAACAGATGATATATTTCCCGTCGCCGAGATTCACAGATAGCACAAGATGTTTTAAAATCATCCAGAATGTATCCCGGATGCTATAAGGAGCGTATTAAGACGCTCCTCCTCGGCGCATTCGGAACGGTTTCAGGATGTTTTATATTGTCTAAATTTCATCTCGATTCCTATTCAGTTGCAGGAACTGAGATTTTTTCCGTCTAACACAATGAAATAATTGCCGGTTGAAACTTGCCAGAAAGCTCGAAACACACTTGAGTTTTCACGGTATAAAGTGTTCACAAATTTTCTGAAAAATATACAACTGCGAGGTAGATTGGTACTCACTGTAATCGGGATTCTGGTCGCCGTATTTCAGCTGAAGCAACGAGTCGATAAAATCCCCTCTCTTCTTGCCACTCTTCTCACGGTTCTCCATCGCATCCCAGAAGACCTTCTTCACGAAGGAGGAGTTGAAGAGTATATTTGTGCCCAACAGCTCAACCAGTTCGGGCGTGAAGAACACCATCACCAACGCGACCATCCTCTTAAACCCGTGGAAGAACTCGGCAACTGCACGATTCATTTGCGATTTATCATACCAATATCATTTACTATATTTTCCCTACCGATGAACCCCGTAATCTATTATTTTACTATATATAGATACACGGGAAAAAAATAGAGTGGAATTTACCTGATAAAAAAAGGGAGAGAGAGAGAGAGAGAGAGAGAGAGAGAACGAACCAAAAAGTTTTGACCGAAGAGAACAGTTTTTAAATTAATTTAAAAGTTACATTTTAATAATAATTGCAAATTAATCGCTCTTAAGAACAACTCGGATCTTAAGGTGGGTCAGTCAGTTTACCTGCGGTGGTGAATTCGCCGTTCGGATAATGGAAGGAATCCATCTTGGTGCCGAGAGCAACCGAGGCGATCAAATCGGTCGTGTACTTGTAGCTGAGATCTTGGGCGTCTACGAGCTTCGTATTGTTAATGTCGGTCGGCTGATTCTTCAGGAACTCCATCATGGGTCCTCCTGTCTCCATCATCAACGGGAACATTTGCCTCAGCTTGCCCTTCGTCAAGGTAGGCGTGATCTTGGAGCGCAGGTATTTCCACATCGGGTTCTTCAGGCCAAAGAGATTCTTCATGCCGATGCTATCCTTCTGATTGGAGCCGGCGAAGTGGCGGTCAGAGAAATTGTCGAAGTCGCGGATCATGAAGTGCTTGATGATCTCGGGGTCGCGCAACAGCAGACAGGGCTTGTGGAAGATATAGAAGCCGACGAAAGGCGCCTCTGACCTGGCCGCTTTGTGCAGGTCACCGAGATGATATCCCGGTGCGGTACGGAAGAGCACGGCATCCTTGAAGTTGCCGAAAATGAAATCCGTCGGGAGCGATTCGACGCCGCGTCTCTTCCAGTAGTTCAGCTTATATCTAGCGACAGCATAGCACGTTCGTGTGAAGGTATGCTTCAGGTTTACGAAATGAAGAGAAATTTATCTTAAATTTAAACATAGAACTTGTGAGAGAGAGAGAGAGAGAGAGAGAGAGAGAAAGAAAAAATTGCTCGTCGTTCTCACACGTGTGTATTAATGATAGAATTTAAACCATAAATGGAATTTAATCAAAATAATGTGTTAAAATAAAAATCAACAAATATGAAGAAACAAGAAGAAATTACGTTATAGTTTTGCTCATTCGCAGAACACATATTAACATACTTAAATACTTTATTATCTTTTATAGTCCGATGATCTTTTTTTTATTGAGTTTGATACAAACCTGGAATATACGTAGAAAAACAATACCGCCGCAGCGAGCAATACGAATGTGGCCAATATAATCTCCATCCTTTAATCTTTCTTCACCGTCTAATTGTTCTTGAGAACTGAGTGCTGCTCCAAGTCTGCAGTCGTCACTTATATACTTATCGGTAATCCGATAGCGGCAGCTGTATTGCGCCTATCAGTCAAAATATATAAAATGGAAGTCCGAAATATAAATCAGATAACTATCACAGTCGAGCGGACGAACTTCATCACAATTTAATTAATGTAATTAAGTAGCTGAAATAGCTCAAATTAAAAACGTAGCTTATTTATGTGTTATAAAAAAAATGAGAGGGGAAGGGAAAGAGGGGGAGAGAGAAAGGAAAAAAGAAAATAAGAGAATTCTCTCCAACTTTACGCAGAATAAGGCAATGATCTTCTGAAATCTGATGATGTACTGCAAACTAACAATTGCATTTATCATCGTTGTCCAAAAAGGTTTAATAACATCATGTATGTAATATAAACTGAAAAAAAAACTAAAAGTAAAACAACGTCATGAATTATTTATTTAAAATAATTTCCCATGTACAGTGACATATACATTTAGTGGCGGACATATACTTACATACATTAGAAAATGTACTTACGTACATTTAGAAAAATTAAATTTTATTCGTTCTGTACTTATACATGAAACAGTTAAACAAAAGTCCATTACGTTTTTTACAAGTTTATAGCATATATTATGACATAGTAAAACAGTGTTTATCGATTTACAATAACTAAGAAGTTTCTTGTGTTTGTTTGCTCAAGTGTCATGTTTTCTGCGGACACGTATTTACATATACTGTGGTAATACACAGATAGGTAAAAATTTCTGCAATATAAACAATACTTACGATAATACATATATATATATATATATAT